CACATGGGGTGTCAGTTTTGATTTTGAGTTGATTGATCTAAACACAAATTATGTGCAAATTTTCATTGGAATGCTGCTAAGCACTACAATTGAAAGACTAATGGGGCAGCAAAGTGTTCATGGGTCATCTTGGGGGCCCCTTATGTAGTTTTCAAAATCTGATAATTGTTTTTGATTCATTTTAAGATTGTAACATACATGTAAAATTCTGTCGAAATCGCAGCAATTTGAAAATTTGGGGGTCCCTTTGGTTCACCCTAGGGGTCCCAAATTTCAAGCCAAAGGACAGGTTTAAGACTCATAGTAATTGAAATAATAAAGCACATCTTTTTTAAGTTTTCTATTTAGTCGACTTTATGGCCAAGGCTGTAGACTTAATTGAAAATTTCGGGGTTCCCTGCTGGTCCCCTAACTCATGGGTGTCCCAGCGTAGATTTTCAGTGAATTCCAAGTGACTACTTCAGTTACTCAATATAATCTCAATATGTACTGAAATTTTCATTGAAATTGGGGAATACTGCTACAAAATACACTTGAAAAACAATTGAGGCATCAAGGGGTTTATAGGGTCATCCTGGGGCCCCCCCTTATGCATTTTTAAAAATCTGACAACTGATTTCTATCTCATTGTAAGAGTGTAACAAACATGCAAAATTTCATCAAAATCGAAGCAATTTGAATTTTTGGGGGTCCCTTTCGGGCACCCTGGGGGTCCCAGTGTCAAGAGAAACGAAAATCAATATAGCGTATAATAAGCATGACAGTAAGTTGTATACACTTATTAAGTTTCATTAAAATCGGCCTTAGGGTTTAGACTTCAAGTCTGAAAGTTTAAAAACAACCAAACTAATGGAAATTCCCATTTAAACATTATATTTATCGATTATCGGTTATTGATTTTTGAAAAATGACTAATTTTTTTCCCCAGACACAACCAGTATCGAGTACAATCTATGTTCCAAATTTGGTGGTAATATGCCTTATGGTTCTCGAGTAGTTCGCGAACACACACATACACACACACACATAATCAGTTTTATATATATAGATGAACTAATAGTTCCAAGGGGAAGGATTAGAATTTTTGTTATGGTTTTCACCAGTTTATGGGGGTGGATACAGTCTATTCTTGGGATAATGCAGCACATTGGGATACCACTTTGTCATACAATTTCCCAAATACTGTTCTTGATATATAAAAAAATATATACTTTCCTCATATATATATATATATATATATATATATATGTGTATATATATATTATTTCAAGTTATTGTTTTCAAATGTCTATTTTGAATAATTTTTTCCATATAGTATAGGGTTTTTTAGTAGAATGTATCAATTGAAAAACGGCAAATTAAATTTAACTTAATTTTAACGAAAATCAAAGAAAGTGGCAGCCTTAACTCATCGATTGGAGGGTTGTGATGAGCAGTGTGACTGGGGTAGTGTTGAAGATATGATATTAGTCAGCAGTACTGATCATAAACGTGCAATAAATTAAACTAAAAATTCACATACGGAGAGATACATGAACAGACTAATGCATAGACATATATACAAACACACATTTGAGATAGATACTTATGTTTTACGTGTCTGGAAAAAAATTTTAAAATAAATGTTTATTTTTATAGAATTATTTCAATTAATATTAAAATATCAAAATGCATTTTTTTTATTTTCATGTACAGAGATCTTTTAAAAAGAAT